TTGGAAAAGTGGGGGTTGTCTTGTACATGGGGGCGTCTTATTGTCAGAAAAATACGGTAGTTATGATAATTCTTATATATTCTGCTCTGCTAGAAGACTAAAATCTGTATCACTCTTGTTCCATTCTAAATAGTCCCAATGGTTGAATATCTTTACCAGTAGAAAATAGCAAAAGATACAGAACCAAAACAAAGCAACATTTATGCAGTAGATGAACTGCATTTTTCCTGCAATTTTGTGATACAGTATGGTAATTCAGGACAACATATATGGTTACCCCCTCCCAGGGATCCTATGCTTTAAACTGACAGTTTGGCACATCAGATTTATTTTACAATTGCTGCCAGTTCATTTTTGTGCCTAATTCAAGGGGTTAGTGATTACCTTTAAAGTACTACATGGGCTCGCCTTGAATCAAAGATATGAAAAGGGCCTTTTCCACTTGTGCTCTAGTTCATGCCCTGAGATCTGTGAAAAGGATTTCTTTCTTCCTTTATTTAATCGTATTTAGGAGAAATTGAGCAAGTGGGGAAAAAAGAACAACAACAAAAAATTTGATGCAAAGATTTAATATCTGTAAGTGGACAAAGAAGTTACAGAAGTTGTACAGTTAGTGCTCAGTACATTGGTGCTGAAAAACTAACCATAATAAAAATACTTAAATTTATTTTTAACAATAAGGAAAAGGTTTTTAGAGATCTTTTTGAATCTCTGGGCTCAGTGCCAAAGTCTCCACTATTTTGTTATTTAAAGTTACCACTTTAAAAAAATAATAAAACTACTAAAACATTACAGGTAAATATTTAATTTCTAACTTCCCCTTTATTGTATCTGACTTATATACAACATTTATAGACATGTATTTCTGATTTCAGTTCTTTTGATCAATTTTTTTTCCCCTTAAAGACCGTACTCTAAATGCTTAAATTTGCCTAGCTGCATACAGGTAGTCCTTGTTTAGCAACTGCCTTGTTTAGCAACCGTTCACAGTTATGACAGTGATGAAAATGTAGCTTTACGACTAGTCCTCACATTTACGACCTTTGTGGGTCTCTAAAGCAAAGGAAAGCTGAATCACAGTTGTGGTTTCACTTAGCGACTGCTTCACTTAACAACCAGGTTGCCAGTCCTAACTCTGGTCGCTAAACAAGGACTACCTGTAATATATAATATATATGGAAGCCATTCTTGCTTAAATGAAATCAAACTTTTGTTATGAATATATACTGTTAATTTTGCAATTACTGTACGTTCTCCAAGTTTAAGTCTCAGTCTGATATCAGTAATGTATCTTTTCTGGTATTGTGCTAAGTTTGCCCTTGCAGCCATGAACTTAGTAATTTTTTATATTTTTTTAATATTTCTTAGAATAATACCTAGTAAAAAAAAGTTTCATTTCAAATTTGATTTCTAAAATTTTCTGAATAGTGTTATGTATTTCTTTCCAGTACTTTTGAAGGTTTTTTTACATGAGAGAATTTTTCTCCCCTCTAGGCTACAGCACTGCTGTCTTTGGTAGTATGTTCTGTATGTTCTTCCCTCTGTACTTGTATTCTGCCCTCAGACATGCCTTCACTTTGCTTGGTTATTAATAACATCCCAGTACCCTGAGTATTAAATGCTAAAATTCATTCAGTGTTTTATTATATATTGTTTACAGTTCATTAAGCTTCTCTGAGTGCTAGTTTTATTATGCAAAAGCAGTACATAAGTTTTGTTAAACTGACTCAAGTTTCCTTGTTGAATATTTTGTGGCAAACCAGTGAACTTGAACTTGAATATCTTTGTGTGATACATTTTAGCCACACTATTGTATTATTCAATATTTTAGGATCAATGGCATATTGATCCCATTTTCGGTATATATGGGTCTGAATGGTAAGAACTGTGATGGAATGGACTTATGAAGGCCATGCTCAGGGAGATAAGTGTGTTCTTAGCCC